AGTAGGTACACTCCCTATATGCCCCGTACTTAGCTTAAGGATACAGGAACTTCAGGTAAGGGAAATAAGTAAGAGGAGAAGGAAGGAGAGTAGGGATACAGCCACCGAGTAGGTCTTAACCGCACGACACCAGCCACAGAGAAGAACGAGCTAGCCACCAGCTGCCTCCCTCATGTCGTGGTGCCGGGAGGAGCCTAATTGATCGTGCAGCTAAGCACATTAAAGATCTTCCCCTATGCAACGTATTGTTACTTTATGAATGATTAGAAAGTATTAGTAAGCAAAGTTGGTGCCTATGTTATTATTTAATAATCAACCCCCAGCTCAGTCTTTAAATGCTCTTTGAGAAACAATAATAGTCTTACGTCTGGCAGGGAAGATACAAACAATTGCCATACGAGATGCCCAACTGTACTACCAGGAAGTTTAATAGCTCAATTTTGACCTCTGGTTTCCACTGGAGAACCCAGGGTCGTAACAACCACCAACAGTGAGGGGAGACCATTAACAGTGAGGGGCGACCATTAACAGTAAGGGGAGACCACCAACAGTAAGGGGAGACCATTAACAGTGAGGGGCGACCATTAACAGTAAGGGGAGACCATTAACAGTGAGGGGAGACCATTAACAGTGAGGGGAGACCACCAACAGTGAGGGGAGACCACACACACACACATATATATATATATATATATATATATATATACACATATATATTTACTTTTTATTTGAACTTTGTTACAAAAAAGGAGTTACATATGGGTTACAAAGATGGTTGTCATAGGTTGTCGAGTTCCTCCAGCTCCTCAGATGGCGGGCAGGAACCCTGGATGCAGTGCGCATTTCCCCTCTGTATCGCCACACTGAGGCGCTGGAAAAGAAAGCTTGCAGCTCTCGGGTCCCTTGTTGTTTCAATGAGCTAGAACCCAGTTCCTTCAAAAAACTGGTAGCACTTTTACCGCAGGCGCCGAGTGTCTCAGTGTTATAATATATACATTATATATATATATAATATATATATATATATATATATATATATATATATATATATATAATGTAAAATGAGTCAATAATATTTGGGTGGTAACCAGGAGGAAAGCTTCAGGAACATAAACTTTCACTACACCGGGATAAAAAAGAGAGAGGTCAGAGGTAACATGGTCACAACATACAAGATTATTAAAGGCATTGAAAAAAGGGGACAGAAGGTAATTATGTTCACACACTTGCGAGAGATGTCCCACTTACCACCATCAAGGCAGTTCACTCTCCAAGCATTACAAAGTTCAGCAGGTACAGGGCGACGAAGTCATCCATAATGTTAACCTTGGGAAGAGTACGACCTCCCAGCACCATCAACTTTGTGACGCGTGCACACGTAACTGCTGCGATCAGGATAACGAGGAACACCCTCTCCCCAGGCGTGCTGTGTGTGTGTGTGTGTGTGTGTGTGTGTGTGTGTGTGTGTGTGTGTGTGTGTGTGTGTGTGTGTGTGTGTGTGTGTGTGTGTGTGTGTGTGTGTGTGTGTGTGTGTACTCACCTATTTGTGCCTGCAGGGTCGAGCGTTGACCATTTGATCCCACATTTCTAGCCATCGGCTCTTTATTGTAATGACTCATGTCCCATTTCCTTATCATATCTTGGTTTAAAAATATGAATAGTGTTTGCTTCCACAACTTGTTCCTTAAGTGCATCCCATTTTCCACTACTCTCACGCTAAAAGAAAATTTCCTAACATCTCTGACTCCCCTCGTTCACGCGAAATATTAAAAAAAACATTTCATCAATTTCCACTCTGTCAATTCCCCTGAGTATTTTATACGTTCCTATCATATCTCCTCTCTCCCTTCTTTTTTCTAGTGTAGTAAAGCTCAGTTCCTTCAGGCGCTCATCATACCCCATCCCTCGTAACTCTGAGACGAGCCTCTTCGCAAACTTCTGAACCTTTCCAGTTTCCTTATGTGTTTCTTCAGGTGGGGGCTCCATGATGGCGCGGCATACTCTAAGACTGGCCTCACGTAGGCAGTGTAAAGCGCCCTAAATGCCTCCTTACTTAGGTTTCTGAATAATGTTCTAACTTTTGCCAGTGTAGAGTACGCTGCTGTCGTTACCATATTTATATGTGCTTCAGGAGATAGATTAGGTGTTACGTCCACGCCCAGGTCTCTTTCTCGAATCATCACAGGTCCCCTTCATTGTGTACTGTCCCTTTGGTCTCCTATCACCTAGTCCCATTTCCATAACTTTACATTTGCTCGTGTTGAACTCCAGTAGCCATTTCTCTGACCATGTCTGCAACCTGTTCAAGTCCTCTTGGAGGATCGTACAATCCTCACCTGCCAACTCTTCTCATTAATTTTGCGTCATCCGCGAACATCGACATGTAGGACTCTACTCATGTAAACATGTCGTTAACATATATTAGAAATAGAATTGGTCCCAACATCGATCCTTGAGGTACTCCACTCGTTACTGTTCGCCAGTCCGACTTTTCGGACTGTGTGTGTGTGTGTGTGTGTGTGTGTGTGTGTGTGTGTGTGTGTGTGTGTGTGTGTGTGTGTGTGTGTGTGTGTGTGTGTGTGCGTGCGCTGACTGACTGACGGAGGCGGGGTAACTGACACAACCTGCTCTCTCTCAGTTTCAGGCATAGGTACGACATACAAGACGTTTCGTAACCATTGTGATAGGCCCCGCCCCCCCCCCCTCCCCTATGGTAAGTGTACTATCAAGATACAGTGAGAAAACTGGACCTCACTACACTGGAAGAAAGAATAGGGTAGACATGATAACGACGTACAAGATTCCAAGGGAAACTGAGGAAGGCGACAGAGAAGCAACGACCAAAGCCAGAATGACGGACCAGGGGAACGCTGATGGAAACTGGACACCCAAGTGCAACTTCAGCAAGCTCATTTAGGTCAGTACACACACGCACACGCACGCACAGAACCGCCCCCCACCTCCCCTCCTCGACACACGCATACAAACACCCCTCCCCTATACACACGCATGCGCGCACGCACACACACACGCGCAACCCTTTCATAATTTCGTAAGCTCACCTTGAGGGTGGGACGAGGCCGGCCACAGCTGTATATAATATCGGCCGCTCTCTCCAGCACCACTCCTGCCTCCTTCCCCCCGCACGGTGCGTTCCCTCTCTGTGCTGGTGGTGTCTACTGGTGTACTCAGGTGTGCTGGCGGGGGTTGAGCTCTGGCTCTTTGGTCCCGCCTCTCAACCCTCAATCAACTGGTGTACAGATTCCTGAGCCTATTGGGCTCTATCATATCTACACTTGAAACTGTGTATGGAGTCAGCCTCCACCACATCCCTGCCTAATGCATTCCACCTGTTAACTACTCTGACACTGAAAAAGTTCTTTCTAACGTCCCTGTGGCTCATTTGGGTACTCAGTTCCCCTTGTTCGTGTTCCACCCGTGTTAAACACACACCACACACCGTGTGTTGGTGGTGGCCAGTGGTGTGTGGTGGTGTGTGGTGGGTGATGGTGGTGGTGATGGTGCCAGTGGTGGTGGTGTTGGTGGCGGCCAGTGGTGTGTGGTGGTGGTGGTGGTGGTGATGGTGGTGTGTGGTGGCCAGTGGTGTAGTGGTAGTGTGGTGGTGGTGGTGGTGGTGGTGTTGGTGTTGGTAATGGTGGTGGTGTGTGGTGGCCAGAGGTGGTAGTGGTGTGGTGGTGGTGTGTGGTGGTGGTGTGGCCAGTTGGGGTGGTGGTAGTGTTGGTGGTGGTGGTGGTAGCGCCAGTGGTGGTAGTGGTGTGGTGGTGTGTGGTGGCCAGTGATGGTGGTGGTGTGGTGGGTGGTCAGTGTGGTGGTGGTGTGTGGTGTGGTGGTGGCGGCCAGTAGTGGTGGTAGTGGTGTGTGGTGTTGGTGGTGGTGTGTGGTGGCCAGTGGTGGTAGTGGTGTGTGGTGGTGGTGGTGGCCAGTGGTGGTAGTGGTGTGTGGCGGTGGCGGCCAGTGGTGGTAGTGGCCAGTGGTGGTTGTGGTGGTGGCGGTGACGGCCAGTGGTGGTTGTGGTGGTGGCGGTGACGGCCAGTGGTGGTAGTGGTGTGTGGTGGCCAGTGGTGTGTGGTGTTGGTGGCGGCCAGTGGTAGTAGTGGTGTGTGGTGGTAGTGGTGTGTGGTATTGGTGGCGGCCAGTGGTAGTAGTGGTGTGTGGTGGTAGTGGTGTGTGGTGGTGGTGGTGGTGGTGGTGTTGGTGGTGGTGGTGGTGGTGGTGGTGGTAGTGGCCAGTGGTGGTAGTGGTGTGTGGTGGTGGTGTTGGTGGTGGCGGCCAGTGGTGGTAGTGGTGTGTGGTAGTGGTGTGTGGTGGTGGTGGCGGCCAGTGGTGGTAGTGGTGTTGGTGGTGGTGGTGACGGCCAGTGGTGGTAGTGGTGTGTGGTGGTGGTGGCGGCCAGTGGTAGTAGTGGTGTGTGGTGGTAGTTGCGTGTGGTAGCCGGTGATGGTGGTAGTGGTGTGTGGTAGCCGGTGGTGGCGGTGTGTGATGGTGGTGTCTGGTGGTGGTGTGTGGTGGCCAGTGGTGATAGTGGTGTGTGGTGGTGGTGTGTGGTGGTGGTGTGTGGTGGATAGTGGTGTGTGGTGGTGGTGTCTGGTGGTGGTGTGTGGTAGCCGGTGGTAGTGTGTGGTGGCCAGTGGTGATAGTGGTGTGTGGTGGAGAGTGGTGGTGGTGGGGGCGGGTGTTGGTGAGAGTGGTGGTGGTGGGGAGCCGGCCACAAAGGTGAATGTTGTGGTGCACAAAGTTGGAGAAAGTCGCCACCAGGAGCCAACGAGAGCCAGTTTGTGCTGGGCACCCCCCCCCCCCCCCCCTGCTACCACTTTGCAAACAACCCCCAACCCTGTGATCACCACTATTGTCCGCAACTTCCTGCCTCCATCTTCACTAGTAACAATAGTAACAATACATCTGTTGTTGTTGGCGGTTTGCATCAAGAATCATCAATAACCTTCACTTTGAAGTCAAATAAACGAGCAATTTAGATGATATTTATCTTTGATTTTCACAGGATATCAACGATGAGAGTGTTGGTGGCGCTGGTGGTGGTGGTGGTGGTGGTGGAGGAGTGTAGGGGTCAGGTGCTCGACATCCCTCGCTTCAATGACGTCGAGAAGAAACAATACCTCAATGACCTCAACAGTGTCGTCGACTGTCTCGTCGGTACCCGGACTGACTGTCATCCCTTCACTGCTAGAGTTCGAAGTGAGTTCCGTTTGGTTGTGGTGGTCGTGGTGGCGCTGGTGGGGGTCGTGGTGGCGCTGGTGGTGGTCGTGGTGGCGCTGGTGGGGGTCGTGGCGCTGGTGGTGGTCGTGGTGGCGCTGGTGGGGGTCGTGGTGGCGCTGGTGGTGGTCGTGGTGGCGCTGGTGGGGGGTCGTGGTGGCGCTGGTGGTGGTCGTGGTGGCGCTGGTGGTGGTCGTGGTGGCGCTGGTGGGGGTCGTGGTGGGCGCTGGTGGGTGGTCGTGGTGGCGCTGGTGGGGGGTCGTGGTGGCGCTGGTGGTGGTGGTGGTCGTGTGGTCGTGGCGCGTGGTGGGGGTCGTGGTGGCGCTGGTGGTGGTCGTGGTGGCACTGGTGGTGGTCGTGGTGGGGGTCGTGGTGGCGATGGTGGTGGTCGTGGTGGCGCGTGGGGGGTGGTGGTGGTGGGGTCGTGGTGGCGCTGGTGGTGGTCGTGTGGGGGTCGTGGTCTGGTGGTGGTCGTGGTGGCGCTGGTGGGGGTCGTGGTGGCGCTGGTGGTGGTCGTGGTGGCGCTGGTGGTGGTCGTGGTGGCGCTGGTGGGGGGGTGGGGGTCGTGGTGGTGGCGCTGGTGGTGGTCGTGGTGCTGGTGGTGGTTTGGTCGTGGTGGCGCTGGTGGTGGTCGTGGTGGCGCTGGTGGTGGGTCGTGGTGGCGCTGGTGGTGGTTCGTGCGTGTGGGGTCGTGGTGGCGCTGGTGGTGGTCGTGGTGGCGCTGGTGGTGGTCGTGGTGGCGCTGGTGGGGGTCGTGGTGGCGCTGGTGGGGGTCGTGGTGGCGCTGGTGGTGGTCGTGGTTAATAGTACTGCAGCCCATTCTCAACGTTGCGTGGTGACCACCGGCCAGGTCGGACGCTCCTGAGGTCTCTCCGCTCCTGGCTAGTGTTTACGTTGGGTGATTGCTGGTTTGCCCTGCTGGTGGTGGTTTGCCACTGACAGGGTGACGTTTGACTTAGCCATGGGGACTTCTCGCCCTCCAGTGAAGAGGACATTGTCGGCTGGTCTGGCATTTACGGTGCCGGTGGACCATCCGTTGGTTGGTGTCGCCCTGGTGGACGTGCTACATGTGCAGCTGTCGGACTTAGTGGGCGTCCAGCTGCTTCAGGGCAACCGTGCTGTGGTCAAGTTCCACCTCCAGGCTGCCTTTCAGGCGTTTCTCGAGCGGTGTGAGGGGCGTGTTTACCCTCTCCCTGATACTGCTGGTTCTGTTAAGGTGGTGAATCTTAGTGTCACCTTGACGTCTGTGGCGGTGCATGGTGCCCCCTTCGAATTTCAGGACGACTTTTTAACCTCCTGTTTTGAACGATTTGGGACAGTGTTAAGTGTTCGTTGGAACAAGGTCCTTGCCGGGCACTGTGTTGGTATGCTTGACGGCTCCCGCACCCTGACGATGTCGCTGAAGTGTAGTGTACCGTCGTCGATGTCCGTGTTGGGTTACACGCTCCGCTGCCTGTATCGGGGTCAACCGCGCACCTGTTATCGGTGTGGTCACGAGGGTCATCTGGCTGCAGCGTGCGACGTGGGAGCAACTGGTAGGGTGCATGTTTTTCGTGCGGAGGATTTTCCGCCCCTGTTGCGTTCGGACGGTTCTGAGGACGGAGTGGGTACTGTGCCTGAGGCGCCTGATTGCCTGTCTGCTGCTCCGCCTGTTGAGGCGAGTTCTACGGCCTGTGCGACACGTCTGGTAACTGCTGTGGCCCCTGGGGTTGTTGAGCCGGTGTGTGTGGGTGTCGGGCCGTCGCCTGCGCTGCGTGTAGTGGAGGATGTCCCAGTGGAGGTCCATGTCCCGCCCCCGCCTGTGGATGTGGTACCGGCTCCCGGGGACGCGGGTTCTGCTGTTTTGGAGGGGGGGCTTCGGCAGGGGGAGGTGCCTGCCGTGCCTGTGTGTGTTGGCGACTGTAGTTCTGCTCTTTCCATCCCTTTGCAGAAGCGTGCGCGTCGGTGTTCTGAGGCTGTTTCCCTGGATGATGTGGACAGTGCGGGCGATGTGGCCTCTGTGGACTCTTCGGACGGTGAGGGTGTGGCCTGTGTGGATGTGAAGATGGTGGCTGTGCCTGCGGAGGGGCCTGCTGGGAGTGGTGTGGTGCGGCCTGTCTCGAAGCGTTCGCGGCGGGCTCGGAGTGTGTCTCCCCTTCGTGGTGTGCCTTGGGAGGAGGTGGGGGAGTATGGTGCTCTGGCGTCCCCCGCCGTGGATGATGGTGCTGTGAGGGGCTCCGAAGTTGCTACCTGTGCCCCCCCCCCCCTCCTGCGTCTCCTGCTGTTGGATCCCCGCAGTGGGGGGTTGCCCCTGATGATCGGGACCTCGTCGTGGTGTTGCGGAAAGATGTGCGCCGGGGGGCCTCGGCTCCTGTGCCCAGTGGTGGGGTCGATGCCGCGCCTGCATCCCCTGCGGTTCCCCCTCCTTCGTTGCCCCGGTCTGGGGGAAGCCTAGTCCCGACTGCTGGGGTCGTGCCCTGTGAGGGTCCGGTGTTGGGCCCTTATCGGGATGCCCGGGTGCTTCCGATCCCGTGGTGCTCTTCCACTATCTGGGTGTCGCGGGCGAAGGAGTTTATGGAGTGTCGGATAAGATGTCTCAGCCAAGGGCGCCGCCTGGTGGCCGGGTGTCCTCTGATACGTGGATGATTTGGGAAGCGTACTGCTTGCGCTTTCCGATATACAAGTTCCCGGAAAAATAATATTAGCTGTCTTGCGCGCATCGCTACACCATGGATCAGCTGACGCCATGAACTCGACGTCCAGCCCTACGGTGCGGCAAGTCTCCCTCTACCTTCCACCTCTGTTTAAGTCTCCGCTCCTCTATCTACGGCATGATGAATCGAGCACTTTTGACATTCTTATCCTCCTCACCGTCACCGCGTCTCCCAACATCTGTCCTGGTGCAGTCATCGGGAGGGTAAACCCTTCATGCAAACTGCACCTCCTCTCAAGAAGAAGATGTCATTTTTCTTGCAGTTGTGACGGCTACTTTATTGTGTTCTTTAAAGGTAAAGGGGAAGGTCAGTTGGTGGCCTGAGGGGGGGAAGGGGGGAAACTCTATGCATGCATATATACAGGCTTCCTGTCCCCAAAATTGGTAATTATATACAAAGGAGACATTTTCGGCGTTGTTCGTCTGCTATTAGTGCCTCTCGTCACATCTTAGATCTCCAGTCATCCCTCGCCCCCCCCTTCCTGTCTTACACTCTCACTCATCAAAATTCATCAATCACAGACATTTCACGACCAAAAATAATCCTTCACTCCAAACATATTCCTGCCCAATCACTTGGGCTGGACGGTAGAGTGACGGTCTCTCTTCGTGCAGGTCGGCGTTCAATCCCCGACCGTCCAAGTGGTTGGACACCATTCCTTCCCTCCGTCCAATCCCCGATCCTTATCCTGACCCCTTCCCAGTGCTATATAGTCGTAATGGCTTGTCGCTTTCCCCTGATAATTCCTTCCCCTTCCCCTCCATGCCCGGGGCTCTAAAATGCCCGGGGCTCTATGCCCGGGGGCTCTAATGCCCGGGGGCTCTATGGATGCCCGGGGGCTCTCACTCATGCCCGGGGCTCTAATGGGGCTCTAATGCCGGGGGCTCATGCCCGGGGGCTGCCCGGGGCTCATGCCCGGGGCTCTCATGCCCATGGGGGCTCTAATGCCCGGGGCTCATGCCCGGGGGCTCTCATGCCCGGGGGCTCTCATGCCCATGCCCGGGGCTCTCATGCCCTAATGGGGGCTCTCATGCCCGGGGGCTCTATAATGCCCTAATGCCCGGGGCTCTCATGCTCCGGGGCTCTAATGCCCGGGGGCTCTCATGCCCGGGGCTCTATAATGCCCGGGGGCTCTCATGCCTCATGTCCGGGGCTCTCTAATGCCCGGGGCTCTCATGCCCGAGGCTCTCTCATGCTCCATGCTCGGGGGCTCTAATGCTCCGGGGGCTCTCATGCCCGGGGGCTCTAATGCCCGGGGCTCTCATGCCCGGGGGCTCTAATGCCCGGGGGCTCTCATGCCCGGGGGCTCTCATGCCCGGGCTCTCATGCCCGGGCTCTCATGCCCGGGGCTCTCATGCCCGGGGCTCTCATGCCCATGCCCGGGGCTCTCATGCCCGGGGGCTCTCATGGGGCATGCCCGGGGGCTCTCATGCCCGGGGCTCTCATGCCCGGGGGCTCTCATGCCCGGGGGCTCTCATGCCCGGGGCTCTCATGCCCGGGGCTCTCATGCCCGGGGCTCTCATGCCCGGGGCTCTCATGCCCGGGGCTCTCATGCCCGGGGCTCTCATGCCCGGGGGCTTTAATGCCCGGGGGCTCTCACGCCCGGGGCTCTCATGCCCGGGGGCTCTCATGCCCGGGGCTCTCATGCCCGGGGCTCTCATGCCCGGGGGCTCTCATGCCCGGGGGCTCTCACGCCCGGGGGCTCTCACGCCCGGGGATCTCACGCCCGGGGCTCTCACGCCCGGGGGCTCTCACGCCCGGGGCTCTCACGCCCGGGGCTCTCATGCCCGGGGCCTCTTGGGTGGCTTAATCTTCATAAATTGAATCAGTCAATCCTCGTCACCACACAAGGGTTCATATGGGGCGGATTCATGAAGCAGTTACCTAAGTACTTACGAAACCTGTACATCTTTCCTCAGTTACACTGGCTTTGTTTACATTTACTAAGTTTACGAATTAGGACAAATCACAACATAAGGTTACTGTTATAAACAGCCTCCAGGTGCTCCCGAGCTCATTAACTGTTCAATAAATGTAAAGAAATCTGCTGCACTTGAGGAAAGATGTACAGGTTTCGTAAGTAGGTGTGTAAATGCTTGCCGAAGCCTGGCCACGGATGAACCCATTCTCTCTATATGAAATTATATATGTTTAAGAAAATGCCTGTTTTTATTAGTTAGACGCTTCTCAACCTAAACATTACATCTTTATCTACTTTATAAAATATCCAGAGAAATTAATATGTCTGGAACATGTCTCATCTACCCCCCCCCCCCACCACGTGTTTTTGCCCATCCATCGTGGTAAAGTTCAGGTCCTTGAGTGTACTGGGAGGTAGGTAAATACCCTCAATTATGTAGCACATCACTGTACATCACACCAGCACATCAGTGTACTTTCTCAATGTTCACTTTGTACTGTTGAAGTTGGGATCCAGGCTGGTGCTGCATACCCCCAACACGGGTCGGACACATGACTTACCAGGCATCTGTAATGCATCCATATTTAGGTTCCTAGTGGTTGTCTAGTACTGTTGCGGTGATGATTGTGGTGGTATGGTGTTGGGTGTGATGGTGAGGTCCTTGACTGTTGAGGGGTGGTGCTGGGTGTGATGGTGAGGGCCTTGACTGTTGTGGGGTGGTGTTGGGTGTGATGGTGAGGTCCTTGACTGTTGAGGGCTGGTGCTGGGTGTGATGGTGAGGGCCTTGACTGTTGAGGGGTGGTGCTGGGTGTGATGGTGAGGGCCTTGACTGTTGTGGGGTGGTGTTGGGTGTGATGGTGAGGTCCTTGACTGTTGAGGGCTGGTGCTGGGTGTGATGGTGAGGGCCTTGACTGTTGAGGGGTGGTGCTGGGTGTGATGGTGAGGGCCTTGACTGTTGTGGGGTGGTGTTGGGTGTGATGGTGAGGGCCTTGACTGTTGTGGGGTGGTGTTGGGTGTGATGGTGAGGGCCTTGACTGTTGTGGGGTGGTGTTGGGTGTGATGGTGAGGTCCTTGACTGTTGTGGGGTGGTGCTGGGTGTGATGGTGAGGGCCTTGACTGTTGTGGGGTGGTGTTGGGTGTGATGGTGAGGTCCTTGACTGTTGTGGGGTGGTGCTGGGTGTGATGGTGAGGGCCTTGACTGTTGTGGGGTGGTGTTGGGTGTGATGGTGAGGGCCTTGACTGTTGAGGGGTGGTGTTGGGTGTGATGGTGAGGGCCTTGACTGTTGTGGGGTGGTGTTGGGTGTGATGGTGAGGGCCTTGACTGTTGTGGGGTGGTGCTGGGTGTGATGGTGAGGGCCTTGACTGTTGTGGGGTGGTGTTGGGTGTGATGGTGAGGGCCTTGACTGTTGTGGGGTGGTGTTGGGTGTGATGGTGAGGGCCTTGACTGTTGAGGGGTGGTGTTGGGTGTGATGGTGAGGGCCTTGACTGTTGTGGGGTGGTGTTGGGTGTGATGGTGAGGGCCTTGACTGTTGAGGGGTGGTGTTGGGTGTGATGGTGAGGGCCTTGACTGTTGTGGGGTGGTGTTGGGTGTGATGGTGAGGTCCTTGACTGTTGAGGGGTGGTGCTGGGTGTGATGGTGAGGTCCTTGACTGTTGAGGCGTGGTGTTGGTTGTGATGGTGAGGGCCTTGACTGTTGTGGGGTGGTGCTGGGTGTGATGGTGAGGGCCTTGACTGATGAGGCGTGGTGTTGGGTGTCGTGGTTGTGACGGTGGTGATGATGGTGTTTACTGGAGTTGGCTGGGATAGTGCTGTGGTGATAGTTGAAAGTGGCGCTGGGTCTGGCGGTATCGGAAATGGTGTTGATGTTAACAGCAAAATTGTTTTAGGCATGGTGCTGGGTAGCGTGCTGTCTATGGGGCTAAATATAATAAATGATGTATTTAAGCTTAACCTTCGCGCGCACACACACTGTTCCCTCGAGTCTGAATATCAACATAATATATCTTCCTCTTCTCCAGACCTCCTTCCAGAACTAGTCCAAAACGACTTCAAATGCAACTGCCCGTCCCAACCCGACATCGACCTCTTCAGGCGCGAGCTCAGCAAACCCCAGAACTCCGCCGCCTACCGCAAGCTGTCTGCCGCGCTGGCCGAACATGTATAGTGATCGCCTCTACGCTCACCAACCCCTCTAACCTGCCCTCCATCATGCATAAAACACTATATACACTAACAATTATGACTACACAAATCTACAGTTATTGTCCATGTCACAACCTATGTAATATACTTGTTATATACTAAGTTATTGTAAGTAATTTAGGTATATTATGGCAGGAACAATTGTACACCAACAGGAGTGAATGTACTATGTCTAACATGCTGTAGGACTTCTCTGTCTCTGCCACCACAGACAACTCAAGTGAACTTGCTGCAGAGTCCCATAAGGCTCTGCTACTCCCACTCTACTGTATTGCTTCAAGTCAAATAAATGTATTGAAAGTCTCATTCATTGACCATTATCCTTCAGTGTGTAGTGTGTGTACACGCGTCATCCGCACGTGGTCGTTGTTTACATACCGTGGCTCGTGGTCTAGTGGGTGGGGTCACACACGTGGTCGTTGTTTACAATAGAAGAATACAAAACCCACCTCTATAATGAATCAGCCCTGTATGACTAACACATGACATACGAGACAACGATACATGATATAATGTTGACAATTAGCATCAGAATACCTGTACACTTATCAAACTTTAAATGGGCGAGATGCCAAGCTTCCGCTGAAGTTCGGTCAAGTAATCTGAGTACAATATCTAGTGGATCATTTGGGTTAAACAGATCTGGTGGTGCGAGATGAACCAAACAATCCCACAATGCCAGTTGTGTTTGCCAACAATGGCTCACAACACACTCAGAGTAGTCGCAGGTGCTTCAGCGCTCAAGCAAGCTTGCCATCTCATTATTCAACCCGTTCTCGCACTTTCTTTAAGTCAATATTGACTTATTTAATAAGTGCATATGTGACATACTAATTTATTGTGAATATTTTAGTTTACCTTGAAAAGCTTCATAGAAAACACCGACCTTACCTAACCTTCTTAGTATGTTAAGATAAGGATCTTATTGCTTCGTAATTACAATTATTACTTAACCTATTATAGGTATAGGTTAAGTAATAATTGTAATTACGAAGCAATAAGATGGTTATCTTAACATACTAAGAAGGTTAGGTGAGGTCGGTGTTTTCTATGAAGCTTTTCAAGGTAAACTAAAATATCCACAATAAATTAGTATGTCACATATGCACGTATTTAATAAGTCAATATTGACTATAAAAAAGTGCGAGAACGGGTTTCATTATTTAAAGTTGCAAACATTTCTACTGTATTCCTTATCAATACCTTAACGTTTACCAAGCGAATATGAACTAAAAGTATCATTAAAAGTTAAAAGGCAAATACAGACGTTTAATTTTAGGCTAAAATAAATATAGGTTAGTAATAATTACCTAATTCTTGTTAGCTATTTATTCCTTATACCATCTTAATATAGGCAAGATCATGCCTGAGTCTATCTTGACATATTTTACAATTCTGTTCCTTCAGTAAAACAATGCATTCTATGTGCACATTCATTTTCAGAGAAAACATTTTGTGATATCTCTATTTATATATTTATATATTATTTATATATAAATATAATACAAATATATATGTATATATATAAATTATATATTATGGGAAATGTTTACATTTATTTAGTTTATATTAATTTATATAGTAATTTATTTACGTTAATATATATTTTTCGATAGCAAACAATTATGTTTAAAGTGGACTGTATGATTTACAAATTCCCACAAATCGCTTTCCTACACACATTCTGGCAGCTTGTTAAATTATTTATATATTCTATCAACATAAATTGATTGACATTCACTACAGTATTAGACTACATATTAGTAACTCAAATTAACACAACTACACCTTATCTTCATTGGCTGATACATAGACAACCAGATGTGAACATGGCCAGAATACTCCTCTCTCGGGCGAGGCAGCCTTCAACACATGTACTGGTTGGGCTAAGTAGTTAATTGTGCTTCTTCTTCCCCATCAATTACACCTGTCAAAGGGCACACAATAATAGTAGTAATCATAAGTCTGACAGCTCTACCAAGGGGATAATATTGTATATTTATTTAAATAGAGAGATGAGAATATATCTCACCCCTGTTTTGTGTGTGTGTACTTGGGTCCTATAACCGGTTAGCCTTATAGCTACCTAACATTACTGATCAGGGATGAAAGGTTTCGTCATAAGGACACTTCCCGTGATAGTAGACGATGAATGTGTTGATAATGGGAGCATTTTACTTCCCATAACACCGTTATCCAAGGGAAAAGTTATTGGAGCTAGATTTGCTCCAGCGAGACTCGAATTAAATGGCGGGTGACTGGTGGTCTCTCCCACTGACGCCTTGGCTGTTTTGTCCAGATGTCATCAAGTAGATACAGCCTCCACATTTACTCTATTTTAGTGCTGATAATTAACTTGATTCGAGTGAAATGTTTTTATGTTTTTTACAGTCCAGAGACTGCGGTATTAAGAATGATTCACAATATTTGGTGGTGAATTTAATGGCGACATGTGGCAAGGATATCTCCGTTTTCTACCGGAGGAAATTTCCACATTGCCTCATTTTCTATGAGTTAATTTTAAAGTTGGTAAATGGTGTCGGTTTTTCCGACATACATATATTATATATAAATAGGATGGGAGTACCACATCTGGCTTTAAGAAGAAGGACTCTTAGCCTCGGAGGAAACCACACATAACGCATTAGAGGCAATGTTTAGGTCCCCTACAATACATATTATATATATATATATATACATATATATATATACATATATATATATATATATACACATTATATATGTCGTACCTAGTAGCCAGAACGCACTTCTCGGCCTACTATGCAAGGCCTGATTTGCCTAATAAGCCAAGTTTTCCTGAATTAATATATTTTCTCTAATTTTTTTCTTATGAAATGATAAAGCTACCCATTTCATTATGTATGAGGTCATTTTTTTTTATTGGAGTTAAAATTAACGTAGATATATGACCGAACCTAACCAACCCTACCTAACCTAACCTATCTTTATAGGTTAGGTTAGGTAGCCGAAAAAGTTAGGTTAGGTTAGGTAGGTTAGGTAGTCGAAAAACAATTAATTCATGAAAACTTGGCTTATTAGGCAAATCGGTCCTTGCATAGTAGGTCGAGAAGTGCGTTCTGGCTACTAGGTACGACATATATATATATATATAAAATAAAATGAGGCGACACAACATTGCTGGTATTCTTATCCTCGACCTATGTTATGGGGTATTTAGTGAATGAAATACTTGAATACTTAAGAGACTCCATTGGGATTTATGATAAAAAATTCGCGGACAAGTTGCATCTCCAACTTGTGCACTAGTCTCTTATGTGGTACTGTGTCAAAGGTTTTCTGGCTATCCAAGAATATGCAGTCTGCCCAGCTCTCACTTCCTTGCCTGGTCATAGAATTCAATTAATCCTGTGAGGCAAGACTTGCCATCCCTGAACCCATGTTAATGTTGAGTCACAAAGTTCTTTCGCTCCAGATGTTCCACTAGCTTTTTTGCACAATGTTCTCCATCAACTTGTACGGTATGCAAGTTAGGGACACTGACCTGTAGTTCAGTGCCTCCTGTCTATCACCCTTCTTGTATATCGGGACTACATTTGCCGTCTTCCAAATATTTGGCAGTTCACCTGTTACCAGTGACTTGCTATACACCATGGAGAGTGGCAGGCACAGTGCTTCTGCTCCTTCCTTCAGTATCCATGGTGAGATTCCATCCGGGTGTATAGCCTTTGTCACATCCAACTCTAGCAGATGCTGTGTGTGCGTGTGCGTGTGCGTGTGCGTGTGTGTGTGTGTGTGTGTGTGTGTATTCACCTAGTTGTGCTTGCGGAAGTCAAGTTCTGGGTCTTTCGGCCCGCCTCTCAACTGTCAATCAACCCCCCTCCCCTTTTTCCCACACACACACACACACACACACACACACACACACACACACACACACACACACACACACACACTCTCCCAGCGCCGGTGGAGGTCTTCCTGCTCGGTCAACACTCGGTACAAACTGGCCTTGAGCTCATTCCAATTGTCCTGTAATTTTCTGTTATCCTCCCTAATTGTGAAATATGTATATATGAGTATATATCAGTATGTATGTCTGTATGTGTTGCGTATGTATGCACGTGAGCGTGCACATGTGCTTATTCATATTTACAAACATCTTGAACAAAGAAAACTTCCAGTTGGCAGAACAAGTGAATTTATTTAGTTATATATAAGACAAAGTCAAACCATAAGAGGTTAATGTATACACAACCACTGTGGCATGTATGGGGTGCACAACCACTGTGGCATGTATGGGGTACACAACCACTGTGGCATGTATGGGGTACACAACCACTGTGGCATGTATGGGGTACACAACCACTGTGGCATGTATGGGGTACACAACCACTGTGGCATGTATGGGGTACACAACCACTGTGGCATGTATGGGGTACACAACCACTGTGGCATGTATGGGGTACACAACCACTGTGGCATGTATGGGGTACACAACCACGTGGGGTACACAACCACTGTGGCATGTATGGGGTACACAACCACTGTGGCATGTATGGGGTACACAACCACTGTGGCATGTATGGGGTACACAACCACTGTGGCATGTATGGGGTACAAACCACTGTGGGTATGGGGTACACAACCACTGTGGCATGTATGGGGTACACAACCACTGTGGCATGTATGGGTTACACAACCACTGTGGCATGTATGGGGTACACAACCACTGTGGCATGTATGGGGTCACACAACCACTGTGGCATGTATGGGGTACACAACCACTGTGGCATGTATGGGTACACAACCACTGTGGCATGTATGGGGTACACAACCACTGTGGCATGTGGGGTACACCAACCACTGTGGCATGTATGGGGTACACAACCACTGTGGCATGTATGGGTACACAACCCACTGTCATGTATAGGGTACACACCACTGTGGCATGTATGGGGTACACAACCACTGTGGCATGTATGGGGTACACAACCACTGTGGCATGTATGGGGTACACAACCACTGTGGCATGTATGGGGTACACAACCACTGTGGCATGTATAGGGTACACAACCACTGTGGCATGTATAGGGTACACAACCACTGTGGCATGTATGGGGTACACAACCACTGTGGCATGTATGGGGTACACAACCACTGTGGCATGTATGGGTACACAACCACTGTGGCATGTATAGGGTACACAACCACTGTGGCATGTATGGGGTACACAACCACTGTGGCATGTATGGGGTACACAACACTGTGGCATGTATGGGTTACACAACCACTGTGGCATGTATAGGGTACACAACCAACTGTGG